GCTTGCCGGTCAGCAAGCATTGTTACTTTGCATGTGCTACCATTACACCACGGAACTCGGGAAATTTTGTCATGTCTCTTCCCGTCATCTCAATAAGTGCAGTCGTTTGTTAGAGCGAGCACTGTCAGGCTGTACATTTTGCTGTAGGGAGAGGGCATTTGTTTCGCATTGCTGCCACAACGGAAAAGTGCTCCTGCTGCAACTCACTCTTTCAGAGCCTCAGGATAACGATGCTCACTGGTGCTAATGTGTCGGCGAGGCATTTTCAGGAATTATTCGTTAGTATTGTGCCACACATGTGCTAACTTCCTTCTGTGCTTAAGTCGAACCAGTTCTTGGAAATTGCCTGTTCCAGAATCAGTGGTATCTGTGCCATAAAGCTAATGCTAATAGCCCATGAGCTAATCGGTGATGCAAGAGTATTGAATGTGCTGGGACAACGATACAGCAAAGTCGTCTTGGGTCTTATGAAACCTAAACCGATGCGTTCACAATGGCGATTGTGGCAATCAGCTTGAATATCATGATGAATGTGTTTAGGAACAAAATCTCCCTGTGTACTGTAAGTTGTATGTGTATAAATTAATGAAGCGGTTCAGTTCCGAATGGGCAATGCGATGAACAGAGGATGTCAAGGAGACGTTATGCTCACAATGGACTATTCAAATTTCCGCCTATTAGACGGCCAGCGTAGCGGCCGCTAGTTTAATTGATTGTCTAGTTTTGTTGCAGGAAGCAATATTACCAAGGAGCATGTTATATCTTTAAATGCATGTATATTTCGTACTCAGTGAGATGAAAATCAACGAGTTGCCATCCACTTCAACGATGTCTTTTGGCAATCCTTTCTAGGTCGGACCCATACATTTTTGTTTTGAAAGTGACGGGAAGTTCTGCAGAATGCATCATGTCAGCATTTGGCAGGAATAAGCAAAGGGAGAATCGGCCTAGGTCCATTATGCACGTGGATGTGTCTTGCCTGGAAGGCGAATAGAGGCCGGTTAGGCATGTGTGGTGCCTTGTGGGGTCTAACCTTATGTTGTTCCCACACAAGATCCCGAGTTATTCGTAGGTTCAATATTTTCAGTGAGTGGAAAACAGACCAGTACCGGGGGAAGTTAATATTTTCACTCTTTCGAACAATGGACAGGCTTAGGCCTAAATTAGTCAAGAGCAAGAAATGAGAAAAGGGAGGGAGGTTTTCAGGGTTACCGGAGTAGGCCTGGCCCCTTCTAAATCTGTGATTGATTCAGTTTCTTTTGCTACAATTGGGAAATAACATTGGAGGCTGAAGATTGTGAGTTGTAAGGAAAACAGGTGAATGACCAGTCTGAGGTGAAACAAACAGATGTGGAGATCCCAATGGGAAGTTATTTCGAGGGACGTCCAGGCCCTAGGCCTAAGTAGGCTCACATCACGTATTGTTCAGTTCCAGGTTTGAAGATCAGTCAGACCAGAAAAACCCTCTTCAAGGACCCTATATTGGTAGCATGATTATAAGGCCTCGAACCATTGATACACTTAGGCCTAACCGTTATAAACTCACGCTGAAAGCGGTCCTTGCACTACAAGAGAAGGCACACACTGAAACTGGAAATACAAGAGCCCTTTTGGGCCTGGCGCTTCAAGCGTACGTATTCCCTTTTTGACAGGGTTTCCGTGGCCATTAAGTCAACTCCAAAACTCTTGACACTCACATAAGCCTCAATGAACAAACAAACAAAAATGCTTTGAATTAAATAAATATCCTCCCGTTACACAAGCCTTTCTCGTAGGAAAGAGAATAATAATTGGAGGCACGGTCGATGCAATCATTCCACGCCTGTCTCATTTTCATGCAGAGATGAAATATGGATTTATGAACAGAGCACTTTCCGTTGATGCAACTCCACTGGTGGATGCAATTGTCAGAGCTTGAATATCCTCACCTCCCTTTGAAGTGGAGGCCTGTGGAATAGAGACAAATTCGAGGGAAGGTATTGGGTTTATTGGACGGGGGAGACCACCAGGATATCTGGCGAGGGTTAAATGTCATCGCTCTTAGGCAAGCATCTGTGAGCGGAACATAGCGAACTATGAGAGCATTGAAAGAGCAACACGAATATGAGTTCGTGTGATGCTGGAAGCGTCAGGAGAGCCAGTAGAGATACGAGGGGCGGTCAAAGTTTTCAGAACAGGGTATTAAAAATACGACAGAGTCTCACTAATTTGTTTTTCTATATATTCACCACCCCTAATATCAATGCACTTATTCCATTTTTTTTTTCAAAGAATCAGTTCCCAAGAAAAAAAATTATTTTAACTTCTCTCTTCAAACCATGTCTCCACAGCATCTGTCACTGATTCACCGTCAGCAAATCGGGTGCCACGGAGGTGAGACTTAAGGTTTCGGAACAGGTAATAGTCACTTGGAGCCAGGTCTGGGCTATAGTGGGGGTGGTACAGCTGTTCAAACCCACAGTCACGAATTGCAGCCTGAGGTACGCGAGCTTTGTGAACAGGAGCATTGTCATGCAAAAGCAAAACCACGCTGGTCAACATTCCTCGCCTTTTGCTCTTGATGGTTTGCCTCAATTTCGGCATCAAGTTGGCATAATACTAGCCATAAATAGTGGTTTTGTGGGGCATGTAGTCAATCAGCAAAAGTCCCTTTGAATCTCAAAAAATCGTGGCCATGATCTTGCCAGCTGATGGATGGGTGTGGAATTTCTTTGGAGGATGTGAGTCTGGGTGCTTCCACTGACTCAAGCTTGGTTTCTGGGTCCCAGTGGTGAATCCAAGTTTCATCCCCAGTCACTAACCGGGAATGAAAGTTAGCTGAGTCAGCATTGAAGAGAGCAAGAAGCTCACGACTTGACTCGATCCGCTGATGGCGATCATGAGCACTGAGTTTTCGGGGAACCCATCGAGCAGACACCTTGGACATGCTCATGAATAATTTCCAAAACACATCCGTGAGAAATTCCGACCTTCTTCTCGATCTCCACCACTTTAATGCGCCGATCACCCATCACCATCGTCTCGACGCGAATAAATGTTTCATGATTGACTGCCTCGTTGGGTCGCCCAGAACTTGGGTCATCTTCAACTGATTCACGCCCCTCTTGAACTCATCGAACCATCTCGCCACTGTCGGGTAACTCGGAGCACCTGCTCCATACACAATCACAATGCGTTCATGAATTTGCTTTGCGCTATTGCCTTCTTTAGACAAAAATTTGATGACACTTCGATGCTCGACTTTCTCAATATTCATTATGCATGGAATCTGAGGAAAAATTGAAGCCATAATTAATGTTATATGACGAACAGAAATCTGCAAAACCGTACGATTGGTAAATTCAGATGAGGCTTTAAAATAAACCTCTCGTTAGATCAGTGCGACCATTTTAAGTACCTTGTTCTCAAAACTTTTTGACCGCCTCTCGTACTCTGAAAAAAGACGCATACATATTTAAGCGGTTTGCTTCTGGAGGTAACTGGGAAAGCATCTCGTTCTATTCTTCAACTGGTCATGCATAATTCACGATAATGGTATGCCTTAATCATTTCACTGTCGCGCCTTAACCCTTTCAGACCAGAATTAAAGCCGCAAATTGAATTTTGCATTTTTGAGATCTTTCGTGATTGTAATTAAAACAGCCATGCTTTATATGTAGTTTTTATATTTTGTATAAATTTACATATCATACCATATATGACATATTATACATTTAATTAAATATCTGAAGATTACAAAACTAATGGGTGAAAGAAGGCCTCCGATGGAACTGGGTCGTGCATAATTGCGCCCATTGCTGCTTAATATGGAGCGCAAAGTCACGAGACTCCTAAGAAATTGCTATGACACAATGTAAATACTGTGACGGATAAGGATGGCATCGAGAGGCTCGTAACAGCTGGTGTCAGCGGTGGGATCGTCCTACACCTCCGAGAGACTGGAGAGTGGTGGCAGTGAAGTCTGGAGGACCAGACTTAGTTACGAGAGGGAGTGGTGTGACGTATAAGGATGGCATTGAGAGGCTCGACTGAATGTGCAGGGTTCGGTGGTGTAGTGGTAGCACACCTGACCGGCAATCAGGAGGCCCGGGTTCGATTCCCGGCCGTTCCTTGGGTTCTTTCGACCTCTCATGCCGTCCGACTCCGGAAGTTCCCCTCCGTAACAGTATCATCTCTGACGTTCCCTCAAAGGAGGCTCGCTTCTACATTGAGCTTTGCTCAGCTTCTTTTTATCGTGAGATCGTGTTGAAAGAGCTGAGAGTAGAACAGGTCGATGAATCTGGATAGCAAGTAGGAAGTCTTTTCTGCAGACGAGATTCTAAATTATAGTTATTCTACAGGTTGGCCATAAAGTTTGGAAACAGGATATATTAAGATAATTTTTTTTTGGGAATGGAAATGCCAATTTACTTAATCGGGTTCATCAACACTTCAAAAGTCGCCTTCAAATCTGTATTGATTCAACGGGAGAACATTTTGAACATTTATTTTAGTTTATTTGTACATTATCTTAATATATCCTTAATCCGATCCTATGTTTCCAGACTTTATGGCCACCCTGTACTTAGCCCCGAGTGTGGAAACGAAAGTGTATCAAATAATTAGTAATCTCTACATGCGTTCGGCAGGAAGGTTCGAAGTAAGTGTTTGGGGTGGGGTGGTGAGGAGGGAAACAAGGAAACGGGTATAGGGCGACTTGGGGTCAGGCACGTAGCTACGTGCGAGCGATGGTGATCCGTGATGAGGAGCACGTGCGGCACGTGCTCAGAGCACGTGCTCTCGTGCACGTGCACAGGCAGCTCTGCAGTGCACTGACTCTTCCCCCTCTCTCGAAGCCACGTTCATATACCCTCCGCGCAGGCTGTCATTTAGCAATGCTTCCAGTACCGTATTTGCATATAGCTTTCACTGACTTTCCACATGGTTCATTGAGCTTGTCACACATCAGGTTCCATAGAGAGAGCACTAAACAATGTTGTCCCTGTACTTTCTGTAGATGGATGTTGACGATTACGCAACCAGCGCACATGGTAACATTCGTGTCAGTATTGGGCTTGGCGTACTTACTGAGTCCCAGGAACCACGAGATGGGGTTCAAGTCTCCTCTTCTCTCATTCCTCTACCTGGCCTCATTTGCCTTCCACTTTGGCGCTCAAATGTGGATGACTTTCGTCTCAGGTAAGAAGCAGATGGCCAAGTCAGGTCAATGTCTCGCCTGCAGGTCATAGACCGGCTAACTGGGAAACCAGTACAACCTACTGACACAGATCTCGATTTTTCTCCCTCCAGGTCTCTTGCTGTTCTTCAGCATTCCCCGTCACTCATTCGGTCAAGTGCAACGTGTCCTCTTCCCGACCTACTTTCTCATCAACTCCATCCTTTCCTTCATCACTCTAACGCTTTTCGTCCACTTTCAACCTTTCGGGCAGCTCTCTACCAGATGGGACTCTATGCAGGTAATAGCATCTGTGTCTCTTGCCATCTGCTGTAGCCTGATTAAATTATGGTGTTCTTCAACACCAATTTCCTTGATCATATTGTGATATTCTTTAACCAGTGACGTAGCGAGGGGGGGCTGGGGGTCTTCAGCTCCCCAAGTTTGATTCAAGTCCCCCCCCCCCCCAAACTCTGGTCAAAATGCCTCCGCCATACCCCCCTCCTTCCCCCGTCGAGGAGAAGTAAGGGAAATTCTAGTTCCCCCACCGTTAGGCCCCCCCCATTGGCGAAATCCTGGCAACGCCACTGTCTGTAACAGTAACTCAAGAGACGAAAGAAGTCAGACGAAGAGCAGTCTAATGGTAGGCCTCCTTTGAATGTACAGTACATGAAGAATGTGGATCAAGTACTCTAAAGCAAAATACTTTGAAGAAGGACGAGAGGAGGATAGGGTAGAACTGTGCAGTAAGTTTGGTGGGGAAGATGGAGATGAGAGCTAATAATAAAAGTAACAATTAGATTTGGGGGTCTTTTTTACAGCAAGGCTGTTGTATCTCATAGAGGAAATGCCGTCCTTCATGTTGGGATTCGAAAGAAGGCGAAAGCAGTTCAGCCTCTTCCTCGCTATCTTGCACATTTCCAGGTAGAAGATGGGATCTGGAATTTTTAGGGACAAGGGAGAATGATGGATTTGGGTCTCTTCCAGGTCGGAAGCCAGGTGGTTTGCTTTCTTGTGGAGCTCGGGACTCGCCTGTACCTCACGCCGCCTCTCTTGGCCGCTCTCTCCCAGAAGTTGGTCATGGAAAAGGCCGCTCGCATCGGACAGGAGGTACTGGAAATATCATTTATTGCTTGGGATGAAAAAAAGACATGTTACTCCTCATCCTGTGGGGACTGTATGATAATAGATCTTTGGCGGCACATTCAATGAATGTTGTATCAATGTCAATTTGATACATACGCAATACACATGTAGATGTGACATCAATTTCATGTTGATTTTTATAAGCGGGGGGGGCCTGCTGAAACCCCATATTTGGCTCAAGGACTCACTCCCCGGCCTCTGGAGAAATCCTGGTTATGCCACAAGGCCTTCCTCTCAGTTATACGTTAAATGCGTCCACATATAGTTCATCAAAAATTTAATAGAGAGATGGTCTATAAGGCTAAAGATGTGCCCATCAGTGTACAGGGAGATTATTAGGTCTCTTCCGTGATGCTTGACGCTATTGTGTGCACGCGAAAGAGCAGGAACAGTGAAAATTGCGGAACAAGTTAAATGAAGCATGCGGAAGATAGACATAATCTGGAATTGAATGACCCTGGAGTTTTCGAATCAGGTTACCCTAATGCAGGATGATGCACTGCCTCACATTGCCAATCCTGTGAAAGACCTGCTATTGGAAAATTTTGAAACAGAGTCCTCAGCAGTCGTATCACCAAAGTGATGGCCAGCGCGATATCACCCGGCCTCACATCTGCTGACTTGTTGCTATGGGGCTACATGATGGCATGGAGTAACCGAGAACACACCCACAACACTCCCAGAATTACAGGATGCCATTCAACGAGAAGTCGAATGGTGGCCTGTAATTCTTACACCGTTTGAAATGCTAAATTCTGCTGTTTAGAACGTTGTTTCGTCTGGAAACAGTTGCTGCTACCAGTGGTCCTCCCAGCACTACGAACCCAAATAATTAGAATTTTTACATTTGACCGCATTCTCTGGGTTCCTGGTCCTAGTATCAAAAACTGCGAAGGATTTTATAATCACCTTGTACATCAACATCATCGGAATGTTGAGGGCCAAGTCAGCATGACTGATACATTTCTTAACGTCAACAATTTCAATAGTGACGTAAAACTTATTACCGTTCATGAAATAGACACTTTATTGGCACTGTATTAGCATGAAATCCCAATATGAGTGTTGACCTTTCCTCTGCTTTTTGTATCAGGTTGGGCACTATAACCTGGGTCGGCTGAAGAATTGTCCCCATTTCATGAAGTTGCATCGCCAGTTCCGTCGGATCCACATAGTGATCGCCTTGGGGAATATGGTGGCCATGGCTTGCACCAGCTTCCACCTCTATCACCTGGCGTCCCAGCTCTGCTATCGATTCCACCAAGCAGCTGTCCCTTGATGCAGTAGCATGTTTAAATTTAGAACTGATTTCTATAGGACTTCCTGATGTGCTTCCAGCATCTCTCTTCGAGCTCGTGTCACTACGAAGCTACTCTCTCGGTCTCACTCGAATGCTATTTCTTTGGGTAGCACAGAATCTCAAGTCTAGTCACATACAAAGGAAGGACATTCCCACTGAACTCTCATCCCCAGATTGTTTTGCGCGTGCCGTAAGCAACTTTATTTTATTCATGGGTCCTCCATCCCAGTTGATCCAGACCTAGGACCAATATTCCAATTGCGAAAAAGTCTATTTGTAAGTTGACTAGTCTGTTGGGAGCTCTCATCCTAAGACAGTATTCCTATCCTTTTCTTTCTCTCTCGTCATCTCTCCCAAAGACCAAATTCTCACGTACAACAAATATTTATCAGAAAGGCATCAGGGTGCAAGAATGCATGGGAGAATGCCTGTTATCATCGTCGTATCCCTTAATTAATACTTCATTTCAGGCCTGAGGCTGGCATTGTGGAACTGTTCTATAGTAGACTTTGTACTTATGGTTTCTTTTTCCTGATATCTTCATCCAGATTCTGATGTTTTCACTCGTCTTAAGGTGCTGTTATGTTGTGGACCTGTGTATTGTCCTATTTCATATTCCACCATGCCGATTTCAGGGAAACTTTTCTCAGTCCCACACATTCCTTACTGCGACATTCGACTGTCCTCCGTCCTCGAGAGCGAAATACAAATGGCAATTTGACCACAGTATTAGGGAAAACGTTTAATCAGAAACAAGTTCAACTTAGGTTGTATTGAATCTAAATTCTCAGTTTGCATGCAATTAAGCGTCCTTTCGCTGAACCATTGCACGAATGCGCTTTGTGGAATTGACCAATGACCACCATTGACTTATCGGCATGGTGAAACCACGAGTCTTGTACGCTTTCAAGTGCCGAGGAGCACCTGGACAAGTCTTTATTCTCTTCATGAATGCACAATAAATGCATGTCTGTCTTCCCAACCTCGTGTCGGTTTTCTTGTACATTGAGCCTTTTGCATATGGGTTTCTATGAAGAATCTCACATTGGAAGCATCGGGTTTGTAGAAAACTATGTTCATAATGAATTATACATATATGAGAACCACCTTTTATGAAGTGAATACGTTTTCGCGGTTTGGTGATGGTTGACTGACTTGGAATCGAAAGGCTGCTACTATAATTTGTTACATACAGTAAATTATTGCAAAATAAATTGCATTTTGACCACCCCATGCCTGAGAAATTCAAGGTAAAGGAGACAAACGACCCCAAAATGGCGCTGGGCCAAAAAAAAAAACCTGCCTTAGGTACATACCAAACTTTTTTCTTGTATGGTGTCACTACATGGCACTGAAGAGTTGAATGCAAAAATATAAACGGAACCTAGAGATAAGAAGGGCTGCTGAAATTGGGGATTTTACGGAAATCGTTTATCTTTGCTACTTAACAACTTTTAGTCAAGATGTCAACATAGGATTGGAATTGAAAGAACGCTTTCACTGAAGAGAACACACAGATAGATTTCTCATAGTATCTTTTGCAGACAGAAATTATGATGCCTAGAACTTTGAATAATTAAAAAAAATGGCCATATTTGCCCTATGCCAGGTCGTGGTTACATTCAAGTAAAAATATGAATTTAGTCTTATTTTAAAGTTACCATCCTTCTACAATGCGGTGCCGAACTTTCATATTTAAGGTTGTCACTTCATGACGGCTTTCTATTATTGCTATTAGGTTTATTCCATACAGTATCATAGCTAAATTGTTATCTTGATGTAGCTAAATTTTGAAGCGAAAATTTTTCAGGCAAAAGTATATATTTGAAAGAATCCAGTAAATAGTTGAGGCATTTTTTGGCAGCTCCATTTAGGGGTCGTTCACCTCTTTGACTTAATCCCTTCGCTACAGTTTTTCTGATTCCCACCTCAAGACACCCTATTTTCGCATAACAGTAATATACCGGAGCAATAGTACATATAAATAGCAGTAATACTGTAGTAGTAAGGTACACGTCTTTTTCATTTAACAAGCATTAGCTAGCTACTACACGATTACTTACCTCTGATGTGTCTCTAGGCCTTCTTGCAGCTTTTTTCAATACCTAATTAGCCTCAAAGCAACTCTTGCACTTGGTTTCATATTTAGCGCATTTCATTACGATATTACCTCGTGAGGGAGAAACATGGTCCCGCCATCTCTCGACACTCGCCCAAGGCTTTTTGACGTCTGACAGGAGTGACACCTCACGGCTACTGAGAGAAACGCCAAGAAAAAATCCTCGACTTTTGACTGCCTTTGACGACACCTTGCGTGATGGTAAGGTGTCGTCAAAGGTAGAGTTGAATATACATCATCGTGACGGCACTTTATAGTCAATGGTAGCGAGGCGGTTAAGTTTCTCGACATGGGTTATCAAACATTTTCCCTCCAGATTTAGCAATCATTCACTAAAATGACCAAATTATGATAGCAACTTTCCGATTCCGAATTGGTTGACTTATACCTAGTTTCGAAAACGTGTCCACTTTGTACCAAGAAAAAAAAGTGTAACGCTCACTGGGATGCCAAAACTTTTGGCAAAATGGGTCGGGGTACTCTGTCTGCTAACTCCCGGGATACCCTCCTGAAGCACTTGCAATATGAGTTTAACATGTGCAAAGTTGTGGGGCCAGATAATTTTTCTTTTACCTGCAATACTGTAGAAAGGAAGACTAGAATACCTGACAAAGCACCCTGATTCTTTTCAACCTCCTTCCTCCTGCTGGTTGCACTAATTCACTTTCATCACATTTATTTTCTTGCATGACCCATTGAGTGTATTCCATTGTCTTATCCGTTTACAAATCATTTGCCAATAATTAGTTCAAAGCATAGGCGCCGAATCCAGGGGGACATTCTTGGGGGGGCACTTGCCCCTCCAAGAATGGCCAAATTTCAACAAAAGTATGGCACATGGAAAATTGAAAACAAAATGCTGCTTCACGAAAGAAATGAAAAATATGATTTTCCATTCTGTTTAGAGCTCCAACTGGGGGAAATCCCTGTCACCCCGCCATGGGGTGGAAGGGCCATCCTCAGCACCCCCACCTCTCTCCCTCGCTCGTCATTCTGCTACCATAATAATACTGAGCTACCCCAATGGATCCTGGAATAATTCTGTCAATGTTATTTCAGAAGCATTAGGAACTTGCCTCCCCAATATTTTTTTAGAAATCGGCGCCCATGGTCCAAGTCAAGCAGATGCTTCATATATACCAGCTTCGTTTATTCAATCATTCTGGCATATATCATGGACTGGAATCACCTCAATATCTTAATCACATCTCCTTATTGCAACCTCTGGTGTATTTCCTTCAACGTGAACTTGACAAGATCTCAAGTGCAAAAGAACAAAACAAAACAAAGAGAATTTCATTGAATAGCAAGCAGCAGCAATTCGAAACAGTATTTTTTTTTTGGCACAATGGAGATCAAAGGGAGAGAGATAAGCTTAGTTGCGATACCGGTCTCGACCACGATAGGGTCGGTGCTCGGCTTCTCGTCGCTCCAGAAACTTGCGGAACCGTTCTGCCATATCATGCAACTCGTCTGGAACTTCCTGTTCGGGGGAAAAAAAAATACAAAAATTACTAGGACATCTACAATCATCGACAACGTACGTAACAATTAGCCAACGATAGACAATTCACCAATCGTTACTTGCATTAAGTGCTCCTTACAAATTCGCAGAATAGACTCTAAGTTGGTTTCCTTGAAATCTGCAACTCTTCAAATGAAAACATTCCAAATGTTTAGAATAGAGTGGGGACAGGATTCACGGACTTCTCCTCAAAAAGAAAATTCCAAGAGAGATTTTTTTTTTTCCCCCATACGGTCTTTCCCATGAAGGCATTTCTCCTCGAAGGGCACTTCTCGGATTATTTTTTGAAAGGCAAAATCTCCGACGGAACTTTCCCCTCCATTCCCGAATGGGATTGAGTTTCAGGTATCCCTTTTAACACTAAAACTACCGGAGCAATCATTTTGACTGCTGGTCGATTTTTAATGCACTTTACTCTGCTCGTTTGGCAACTAGGGCCTCAGCAGCTTTTAATTTTCCTATTTAATATCGACATTTTAAACATACCAAATAACATCTGTAAAAAAAAAAATAACGTGCAATAAAAGTTTGATACTACTTTTAATACAGCAGTCAAATTGACAGTTTCAGTAGTTCTAGTGTTAAGTCCCCAAGGCATCGGCAGACCGCGATGAAATGCTTCAGATATACACAGATAAATATACTTTTCAAAAAAGATCGTGGCTACTACACAGTGTGAGGATGGGATACTGAATGAATTCATTATATCCCATTAATGGGAAACTCATATATCACCCACTTCTCCCACTTTCCATCCGAATGCTGGAGATCTCTTTTCCCGCCCCTTCGCATAAACCAAACAGGCTTCTACAGAATCGTTATACAATCGTTGCCCTTCAGATGGCAGAAGTGCGTAGCTTTAAACAGTGATTATTTTGAGGGCTAAGGGAGGTGTGATATTTTTGTGTACTCATTTTGGTAGCGATGAAAAGAATGGTTTAGTTTTTATTAGATGTTTCTGGAAACTTTTTGGACACCCCATGCATTGCTAGTTGAAGAACAAACACATGCCAGTCATGAAGATCTCACCTGCTGCGCCTTCTCAAGGATCTTAATGAGGGGAGCTGCTTGGCGCCAATCTTCCCGAGTGAAGAGTGACAGCGCAACACCGGTTCGTCCAGCACGACCTGTCCTTCCAACCCGATGGACATACTCCTCAATATCGCGTGGGAAGTCATAATTAATGATGTGCCTGTATGGAAACAGAGAAATGCCAGTCATGCCTAATCTGAGGAAAAACAGCACTATTCATACTTTTCTCTGGATCAAAATCATCCTATGGAGTGATTTGGAGGGACATCTACCTGCCTTTGATCACTCTAATGGTGCAATCAGACACAAGAGAACAAATCTCCCTATATTTGCAGTGTGTTCTACAATGTAGTCCATCAATACCTACAATTGCGCTGTTTCCAGTATATACTCATATCCAGTATCAATAAATGCTTATCTGCAAGGGGGTCCTTGTACACCGAATCAGTTCAGCCTTGTCCAGCCTAATCTAATCATCAATAGTTCACTCAAAACTACTAGAGCCACATTGCTAAGCACGTTTCTAATATCCACTTCACAACTTTTAGTCCAGTCTAGACAAGCGACTAGCCAGATATGGTGAGATGGATATAAGAAATTGAATCCTAAAAAATGAGGTTCTAAAACTTTCAACTAAACTGATTATGATTAGATTAGACAAGACTAGACTGTACTAATTTGGTGTGCAAGCACCCTTTCAATTTGCTGATAAAGTTTAGCTACCACACTTTTTCATCATTACATTATTTTGAAGGACTTATATGGGGATACTCATGGAAACAGGGAGGCATTCCTAAATTGCTCACAAGAAAAGACTAAACAATTTAAGTGGAAAGAGTGAACGCAAGCAAAACAGATCACATTATGAATTTATGTGGTCAGAGCATTTTTCAAAGAAAATCACCTCAAGCTCCTAAAAAGTCAAAGCAGAGGATTCATCATGAGTACTATAAATGAATTAAATTTCACAGTAAGAGGCAGAGAAAATAAAAGAGTTATATAGAGCTATGGGTATGCTACAAGGAAAAATAAATTACATCTACAGTTTTCCTGATACTCTTTCTCAAATTTGAAGTGCATGCTAACAAATGGCATCCTGAAGTTATCAACCCTACTGACTCTCAGTGATGATGAAGAGGGGAATAAGTTACTTACGTTATGTCCAGGACATCAATTCCTCGGCTCACAAGATCAGTCCCAATCAGTATCTGAATGGACCCATCTCGAAAATCCTGCAGTGTTTGTTCCCGGTCACTCTGTTCATGGTCCCCATGGATGCTGGATACATTTAGACCCTTGAACAGCAGCTCTGTGCAAATGTGTGCTGCAGTTGCTTTCTTGCCAACAAACACCAGTGCCTTGTCCTCAGGTGATAAAGCTCCCAGCAATTCACATAACTTTGACAAATGATGCAAGAGGAAGGTTACCACCAGATTGACTCAATCCAAAATAAATTACATTCAGTTAATTCTACTTATTTCTGCATGTGCACTAGGTTAGGGCAATAAGAGGCATTAATAGGATAATATCCTACAAAACTTTCAAAGTTTGCATTGTATACTAGAACATTGTATACTAAACATTGAATTGTATACTAGAACATGAATTAGAACTTTTCAAATTCACAACTCAAAAATTTCCAGATAATTGTGAAACTCTGCTTGGCATATTAGATAAGCATTTAGAAACAGTTATGGAAACACAGCTGCCATCACAAGATGTGGTAGCATAGGAACGAATTGTATTCATATGAAGCAATCATGCATGTCATGAGACAGATTTCATATTCTTTTCTCATCTTTATCTTCCTGCTTCCACCCTGGGTAGCTCACATATGCAGCATAGTATATCCCTCAGGTGAACTTTGGCACATGAAAAAAATGTTGCCACTAGCCAAATTGCTTCAACTTTGCAAAGTCTCAAGAGTTCAGTGCCTGTACATCTGCACACTCTTACAATGATTTCATACTATAATGGTTATAAGCATCCAGTAGTTCATGGATTTCTCTGATTATTTTTAAAAGAGCATCATCTTTGCCCTGGAGGCAGCCATGTAAATTATTAATGCTATGTTCCTCTAGGTTCTGCTAAATATTAGCATAAAAGTCAGGGATCAGATCCAATTGCATTTATTTTTGCCCCTGACCATAGGAAGTTTGCATGCCTCCATGTTCCAGTTACTTTCAAGCTGCAAAGTACCTGTTCATGCATGCTTATACACTATATAAACATGAACCCATCTGTTCACCAATATATATTTACTGGAGCTACCAGTAAAACACCATTTAATTTGATGAAAATTTGCCAGTGATACATACTATGAGGGTGAGTCAATAAATAATGCCAGAACTGATTCCAGTCCACACATGCGATAGTTTGGATTGATATCTCCATACAGCAACCACCACTCACCACATTACCCACAAGTACCAAATAAGTGTAGTCATGTTGGACATAAATCATGCCAATAGAGACAAGTGGACACAAGATCATCAATTTGATGGCTAGTAAGCAGATGAGTTAAATGCATAATTAAATTCTTGGCAAGTCCTTGAAATAATGACTTAACACGTCTTCCTGAAGAGGTATGATCTATTGGTATGATCTATTGTCATAAGCAGAAAGGAATCAATGGATAGGAATTTAGTTCTGCATGCATGCATCCAGTTCCATTATAAAATACAATAAAGACATGTTATACATGTACATGTCTTATGTAGCAGAATGTTTTCTGAAAAATAATGACAAATGTGTTTATTTTTTACAATGTGGAAATGAGTTGATTTTTCCCAGTAACATATTTTTATCTTGATTTAAATATATTTTTCATCTGTAATTTTATTCAATTTTTGGGCTTCATAAAAGAGTATATATTTTTTCAATCATGGTTAAGACACCGAATTATATAATTTTATATCATGAATCATTCCAATGGTGTTCCTCTAGTTCTATCCATTCATTCCAATATATGCTTTGCTCAATCTAATGACCATTCTCCCCTGTTATAACTTGGGGGATCTCTAATGTTAAGAGACTAAAAGAATATATGAAAGAAGAGGGCAAAAAGTTGTAGTAGCATTTGAGCACCAAATACATGGATGGATTAACTAGAGGGGCTCCATTAATCTGAATAATTAATTGTGTACAATTATATAATTAGGTGGCATAAATAAAGTAATGAATTGTTCAGAAAACTGAACCTGAAGGCATGCAAACTTCCTACTGTCACTAGCAGGGACATATGCAATGGGTGCATATACCCATATATACCCATCAAAGTCATATAGGACCCCTGACCATAATAGTAATATTCTACAAACATAATAACAACATAGAGCTAATGAATTTACATGGATTCCTCTTGGATGATGAAGATACTCTAGTGAAAAAAAGAGAAAAATGATATATCACAGTCAGGACAATCCAATCTAATCCAATATTATTGCAATTATTCAAGCCAACGGCAATATAAAAGCTGAGGTGGAAATAAAACCAAAGTTTTAAACATCCAAACAGACCAACTCATGAGTGGGGGACTTAGTGCAACTCACCCTATCAAACTTCTCCTCTGTGGTCAAAATTTCAATAAGCTGGAAGACTGACTCAACAGCTCGCAAATCAAGTGTCCCAATGAAAACTTGAATAGGAGCCTCCACGTAATTCCCAGCCAGTCGTCGGACTCCTTCAGGCCAAGTGGCACTAGAATGTTGAAACATCAAAAAAATATCCTAATGGGTACTGACAGTGGTCTCAACAGTTACCCTTGCAAACAGCTAATTGACTGTTCTTTACCAACAGGTTACTTAAAATCAGCTTTGGTTAAATGTGAAGACATTGCCACATGAATACTACAACATAAGAATTGAAAGGACATCATGCTTTCCAGTCTCCTCTTTTTCTTAAAAATGTTTTCCCTCAAAGAAATCTATCCTTGGAACTTTGGAAAATTGACAGCTAACTGATTGGTGTTTATCACCTACTGGTCATTTAATTTACTAGAATTTGAGACTCTAAGTACTATTCAGCATCAGCTTAGGAGACATGAGATGAGATCTCTTTTATGGTTGAGGAACAATATTTATCAGTACATAACACAGCAGTAATTGGCTTAAGACAATTGCTGCCCATCTATATTTTCATAAATCACTATCCTGAAAAATTGCCAGTAATCAGACTGATTCAATGATGAAGGGTGATTTCATGATGCCAGACACAACTTGAGAACAACTTCATATAAGAGAGTAGTTTGATGTAATATATGGGAATCAGAGTATAGGTATTGGTTTTTTAGTTTTAATACTCAGCATGGCATTCTTACCTGCTCTGAGCAATTAACTTTTGCAGGAATACAAGATTTACTCTTAGGCCCAATTGTAGATGGTGCCACTTAATGGTGCATAAGAGTCTTTCAATTTGGGTGCTCCTATATACTTGGAATTTGCTTAAGAAATGAGTTACAGACAGGATATGAGATTACAGACAACATGCAGTCTTGAAACCAACATCAGACAAGACTCATACTTGGGGCCCAAGTCATTAAAACTAGATTGTCCTCCTTGAATGTACAAAGTCCCAAAATTCACAAATACAGTTTGAAATGATACAACTTCATTGTCAAGTGACTGATATGCTTATCAAGAGAAGATATTAAAAATCATCATCTCTGAAAATGAACAGCTCTGAATGTCCATCAATTTCATGCACACATTATGTACATATGACAATATCATTAATAACCTTCTCCAATGTGTTCATACATGTTTTTACACATGCAAAAATGTTAATGACAAAATGGTCAAAAACAGTTAATTTTCAACAATAATTTCAACAATAATGATGATTTCATTGTTCTAATTGTTCCTTTATTGGAGAATCAATCCCTCATTCTTTTCTTTTGAGGTATGGATTTCCCATTTTAGCCACTTGGCAATAAAGTTGTGCCAGTTGTAAATTTTGAGACCCTGTACATCAGGAACAATCTTGTCTTGTAATGAAATGCTTATGAAGCCAGTTCACTTCCATATAAGCAAACACTAAGCTTTTCACGTTAGTTCAGCTAGCTTAAGTTACTTCCACATTTGATAATTTGGCTTCAAAACATCACTATCTTTATTCACTTTAATCAGTTAAAAGTTTCAATTTCAACCTACACCAAGTCAAAGGGATAACTAAAAATCAAAATGGTAAATTATGCAATCAACAGCATTTTTCATGGTGGAATTGCTACAACAGTCAAGGAAAATGTCTACTACAGGCCTACAAAAGTACACAAACTAATTCATACTCACAAGTGAAATTCATGATTCCAGTTCTAGAATGTGTATCAAGTATTCTTATAATATAGAATTTGATTTGATTTTTGGAAAATGAATAAATTCTTCAATAATTTTTGCATTCAAAGCAAAATTCAATCTGAGATTCAACAACCAGAAGAAAATTGGTAATGCTTTCAACACACCTGGTCATGATACGTTGGGCATCTGGATGAATATCCAGCAGGATCTTGCGAATCTGAGGCTCAAAGCCCATGTCCAGCATACGATCTGCTTCATCCAATACCATGTAGGTCACTGACTTGACACTCACAATTTTATTGTTGACAAGATCATTGAGACGTCCAGGGGTGGCAATCACTATTTCTACTCCTTTGGTTACTATGTTCACTTGGTCTTTCCGACTCCCACCACCATAGATGCAAACACTACAAAGAAAACATACCTAGTGTCTCAGTACATTTCCCTAATAATTCAAATCCAGAATTTAGGTGTAGCAAAAAACAAACTTATAAGAAATGCTCACAAGAAACTATACTCAAGGCCACTGGTTCCCAAACTTTTTGAGGTGAAGGCCACACAGATACTTTGGTCCACCTTGAGTGGGCCACACAAATACTTTTGTTAACTTGAAGTGGGCTGCATTGAAAAAAAATCCTACATTTATGCAAAGTTAACCTTTAATTGTTCATTTGACTTCCAGATCAAGCTTCATTAAGCCAGGAAATCTAATTATAAAATGAGCAGCGATTGAAAACTGCCCAAACTTGTCACATCTATATACAATTCTACCTCAATTAGTCATCAAAACCTGCCACTACTAGGAGCCAGGACCAATGCAAACACCAGTTCTAGTAGCTGCTTTATCATAGGTTGTATTTTCGATAAACACTCTTTTTTTCTTTTACCATTCACCATTTATTTTCAAGGTAATATCTTTTTCTTTGCAGTATATGAATTTTCACATTTTAGGCAAGTTTAGTAGATACACATTCAAATACTAAACATCTAAATATAAACATGCAAAATTTATATAAAATGTAATTATATTAATTAAATAAACTAAATATATAAATAAATTAAACATGGAAAAAATATAACATTTAAATTATATAAACAATTTGAGCATTTAATTATAAACATCTGAGTGTTTAAAGAATGCCAAAATTTGCTTGTTTTGAGCTAAAGATTCTAAATCTGTTATCAGAAATGGTTATTGTCATTATTATTAATGATTATTCATTTGAGTGCCAGTTGAAGGGTTAGATAAGAAAAAGTCAATTATTAGTTCATTGTAGTGTACTGCACTTTGAATACCATTGCACCAGATCTATAAAATGATCCCATGACATAGCAGGAGGCACACAAGAGGAAGAAAATATGAGGGTTGATCAGGAAGTAAGGTTACAAGTAAATACTGACTGCAACAGGTGTTGTAACTATACTTCCCAATCAACCCTCGTATTATGGCTTCATTGCATTATTGATGAAAAATTCTAGGAAAATTCTAGAAAAATAAAACTGCCTCCTCTCAAATAAAAACATATGGATAAGGAAATTGTCCTAAATATATGTTTCGGAAAAAATGTTTCACTTCCCTTATCAGCTTGACAAAACAAATAAACCAGCAAATATGCAAAAAAGTAGCTAATGCTACTTTTACAATAAGGCATTAGGGAAGGTACAACCACACCATGATATGTTCTCATCATAAAAGCCTTGACAAGTTTAGAGATGTTCAAACACTCCCCACTACTTCTGAGGAGTTACTTTCTTCAAAAAATTAATAAATTACTACACCTCTCTTCAAAGCACCATTCAACCTTCCAAGTCACCATCAGCCTTAGAAGAGTTTCCAATAAATTGAACTGCAGCAAGCAAGTTCTTCCATCATGAGAAGACAAAGTTGATGAGTACCCTGTGGAATTTGAATTTTTCTTAACCAATTCACATACCATTTTTTTTTACTTACTAAGAGTTGCTGTGAAATACCATTTAATTTGTGAAAAAATTACTCATTGTGCACTAAACCTAAAAGAGCCTACTAGAACCTAAATGAAGGCATATCATGCCATCTAACGGACATACCATTGACTAACAAGCCATGAACTCGTCTGGCAGATGGTTAGGTACAGGCACTTCTACTGAGGCTATCTCACAGACAGTTAGGTACGTGAATGGGTTAACAAAACCCTTGTCACCCAAGCTTTTTAGCCTGAAATTGGGGGGGGGGGGGGGCAGGGAAGGAAGATCTACTGAAACTGAAAGCATGGTCAAACTTGTCCTCCCCCTTCCTTATTACTGATGGTGAAATTATATGATGTGAGTGGAAATACTAGTGAGGCCAGTTGCTTAACCCATTTAGTGCTGTACAGTCAAATTTTCAGCCATGTGTACTCTGGTTAAAAATGGGAGGCCAATTTCTTGGCCATGGGTTTTCATTAAATTTCTTCCTCCATGTAGTTGGGGTTCCTGTTGCTAGATGGCATAAAAATTTGGCCTACAGCATTTTTTTAAATAGTAGACAGGGCCAAAAAATTGGTAGCATGGCATTAAAAGGGTTAAACAACCTACCATATAGGATCATCAGCTAATAAAATTGAGATCACTTCCTTAACAAAGTCCTTAGATATGGAGTAAGAAAACAAACCTCCTGATACCATGATAATTATACTTCTTCACCTCTCCTTCAATCTGCAGTGCCAATTCCCTGGTGGGTGCAAGAATCAGGCAGCTGGGACCCTCACGTTTCTCTCTTGGGATGGGTTGAGAATCAATGTGGATCAGAGCAGGCAAAAGAAATGCTAATGTCTTTCCTGCAGAGATGTAGACAAAGATAGAATTTGTTTTATCGGCACAAATAACATTGACTTCTGTGAAAGCATAATGGAATCAATTGGCCCAATAGATAGGACCAGAGTTCTGGATGCCACTTTAATTGTAATATGCCAATTTAATTGTAAATGCCATTGACTTTAGTCAATGGCATCAGTGATTCTTAAGAAGGCAATCATTCTACTGCATTTGGGTACAGTATACAAAATGTAGTAACTTCAAATTCAGATTTTCTGAATGACATGACATTAACACGTTGACGACCAGCCTATTTTTGCTTGTCTGCCACGTGGAACCATGCGCATTTCTTTTTGTCAAAAAATGCGTCCTGCCATCAGGACGCATAGTCCCAGAAAACTTTTTTTTTCCCGAGTTTTTTTTTAATGTTGAATTTTTTGGAATTTTTATCAGTAATTACGATATTATAATCTTCTGGAATGTTCTCGACAGTTCCAGAGGGTATTCATTGAAAATGAAATCTGCATCCTGGCATCAGGATGCATTGTCGCCAACGTGTTAAGAAAACATTACTATGTTGCTGGATGCATTGGATTGCTATAACTTAACCCTTTGAGTAGTGGGTTTTTTTAACACCAAGACCACCTGTAGTGAATACATGAAGAGCAGGAGAATGTCAGCCCGTATATTGGGTCGATTGGAAAGTTCTGAATGTTTCGAGAACATTCCATACAACCAAGTTTTTTAAAAAAGCAAAAAAGTTGATTCAACGAAGTAATTGCCATCACAGTCAATCACCTTCTGCCAACGATCAGGCAGACTCCAGATTCCATCCCTGTAGAACTGAGCTGGCTGTGAGTAAAAAAAATCAGCCAGCCAGTTTTTGACCTTGGCGTCATTGATGAACCTTTTCTGCTGAAGATGATTGTCCAGAGCATGGAAGAGATGGTAGTTGGTTGGTGCCAGATCTGGGCTATATGGAGGGTGAGGCAGAACCTCCCAGCCCAGATCCAGCAGTTTCTGCCGTGTGATCTTCGTGACATGCAGCCTTGCATTGTCGTGCAGGAATCGAACATGACGGTGCCCTGGCCTCACGGTGCGGAATTTGTCGGTAAGCTGCAGCAGATCGCAGTAGTAGGCGGTGGTGATGCTGGTATCAGGTGGAAGCAGCTCGAAGTAGATCACTCCTTGCATGTCCCACCAAATGCACAACATGACTTTTTGGGGGTGCAGGTCACCTTTCAGCTCTGGCTCTGGCTGGGCATCAGCATTGACCCACTGACGCCGGCGTCGGTAGTTGACATATGGCATCCACTTTTCGTCTCCAGTGACTACGGAATCCAGCCAGTCGTTTGTGCACTTGTATGACAGCAGCAAAGTGCACACCTCAGCACGGCGTTCGTGGTCATGGTCGGTCAGATCATGGGGTACCCACTGACCCAACTTGCTCTTCTTGCTGATTGCAGCCAGGTGCATCACAATTGTGGACTGGGTGCAGCCAAGTGCTGTCGCTAAGTCGCAGGTACTTTGCCTCAGATTGGCTTCCACTGTGTGCTGCAACTGCTCGTCGTCGATATCAGATGGGCGGCCTGAACTGGGCTCATCCTCGAGGCTGTAATTTCCAGACCAGAAATGATCGAACCATCATCATGCTGTCCTTTCATAAACTGCACCATGGCCAAACGCAGTGCAGATGCGGCAACTCGATTCAGCTACTGTGATGTCATATAGGAAGTTGTAAAGAAGGCACTGACGTTGGGCGCTCTTGTTAAAGTCAATTTTGGAAGTCATGGTTATAGGCTTTGAACAACTAAGCAACTACTGCATAATCATGCCCACACACTCTTTATATACTGCTACTGTGGAAGGTTCGAGAAAGTTCCAGAAATTTTTTTTCTGGAAAATTCTCGAAACAGCCAGAACTTTCCGATTGACCCAATATATACAGGCATACTCGTCAAAGGGTTAAACATACATTTTCTTTATGCAAACTCAGAAAATAAGTACATGTAGACCAATTCCTTCTGGAAAGAGTTATAATACTTTTACAGATGCACAGCAGATGCAAGTTAAACCTAAATGTGTAAATGCAGTTGACAGTGGGCATTATTCATCAACATTATGTCACCCCTTATTACCAGCACATGAATCACTCTCATGTCCCTCTTATGTCAACTGACCCTCCTAAGAGGGTCAGTTGGATTCTATCCTCTCAGTCTCTGAAAGATATGCTGGGTGGTCGGCTCCTTAGGGGTTAGAAAATTGCTCACGGCATTTGTCTTAATTTTAATACCCCTTCAGCACCCCTTCGGTAGCACATTGAAAAAAATTCATAGAAGCTATCCTTAATTGGTAAATAAGATGAAATTTCACCAGTCACCATCAAAGACATCTGCCTTTCCATGATAAGAGTAAGAATGGTGCAATGCAACTGGAAGTGCCTTGGTTGCAGAACTTTTTGACCTCCCCTCATAGTATGAATGGCCCACCCTGTAAACTGAGTGATGATTCTTCCTTATTTACCCCTCTTTCTAGTGGGGTATATAAGAAAAGTAAACCTGCCAGCATTTTTCAAATTTTTATGTGAAAAATGTAGGCAGGTTCAGGAATCAACAAGCACTAAAAAAAATTCAAAACATCAATTTATTTTCTCATTTAGGGTAGCTCTGTGCTCATCAAAGAAAGACTTATGGAAGCAGCTAATATTGACTGTAATGCATAAAACCTAAGACTTTTGCAGGCACTTTGGCATTAAACATTATGCAAGGACCTAGAAATACAGGGTGATAATTTTAATAATTAATTGCTGATGCAGGATGACAGATACTATTTCATTTACAATAGAAGAAAGATTCATTGCCAGAGAAGTAATATTTTGTGCTGAGACAATGGTGGAGCACACACAGACCTACTGGATCAATAACTGGGTAAGTGACATAGGACTTACAGAACATCCTGTAGAATGCAAGAAGGTATACAACATTAATAAAATTGATCATATTCAGTGGTTTAATTAAGTTTCTGTCACAATGCCATACAGTTCCAGATGCCAGAAGAATACATTGATAAGTTCTAAGCTGGGAAAAATGTAATTCTCCCTTTACAAAAAATTCTACATCTGCAGATGTTGAAAGGATCCCAGTGAACATAAAATCCCATGTTCTTACACCTCATACCCAAAAACAAAAAGGAAGGAATGGCAGCAACTGTGCACCTGTGTCTTTCTTCCTAAAAATTCTTAGTAGATGACCTCACCTGTCCCTGTCTGTGCAATTCCAATAAGATCATAGCCTTTCAGGAGGACAGGCCAAGCCTGACACTGGATGGGAGAAGGCTTCTCAAACCTCTGCTTGTATATCTCCTCAAGAATATCTGGATAGTGAGAGAAGGCTTGCTCAAAAGTCCAAACAGGATTTGGGATTACCTTCTCATCTCCCTCTTGGATAAGTTTCACCACTATGTTGTTATTCTCCTCCCTACAAGAAAAAATGAGATATGAGACAATTCTCCCCAGGATTCAATTATTCAACACTGTATAGAAGTTGTTGGGGGCTCTTTTCTTGCTCAGATTGGAATGTATTCCGGTGTGGGCGCGGCCGCCGAATGGTATTACGTGTTCTCCGTGTACGAAAAAGGGCCCTACTATATGTACTGACTCCAATTAGATGAGTACCGGTGAGATTCGGAAGGACTAGGCTGGTCAGCAACAATAACAATAGATATATTGGATGGATACCACTCACTCTTATAGTCTACAGGCACCAGGCAGGAGGGAAGTTGATACGTCAAGGGCGACGGGAATAATTTACAGGTCCCTATACAATCCAGACATACAATACACACCGTTGTACAATGTCACACGATCACATCCAC